TACGTATCTGATTGACGACTAGCCTTAATTAAAAGTTCTCTCTCGTTATCCGGAGTGGTAATTAACTATAGGGGCTTGCGCCTATAGGAAACCAGAACTCAGATCATAAAGTCCTCACAAAATGAGGGCGAAATCTCTGGGTAGTGTCTTATCTACAAACTCATCTGCCTTCCAAAATTTACCTCGGAACCTAATCCGTTAAAACTCCCCTCGCCGAATAAACAGAAAGAAATCGCGCGGCGGGGGCCGAGGTCGAATTTTCGGAGCCCACAAACTCTAATAGATCTCATAGTTATCTTGAATTAGAATTATTCAATATTGGTGATATTAGAAAAGAATGAGTAAAATGATGACTCGGTAGGAAATCTCTCTTCAGGACCATGGTATTTCAAAGATAGGCTATGCAATATGCATTAATAAGATTTCACAAAAATAATAATCAATAAAGGTTCTACTCAACCGGCGACATCCATCTCAAAGATTGATAGCTAGTTAGGGGATCAAATAATCAATTTTATGTTGGAGAACCTGAATAACCACAAAACTCAGTATGGGCATATTTTCTCCCTGTAGAACCACAATCCCATTCAAGCTCCCCTCCATAGGAGTGGTGCCTTCACCTATGTACAATCCTACAACAAAGTTTTAGGGAATTGATACCATTACGTTTGATGGGTTGCTGTCTTGGCAAGGAATCACTTAACAAGTAAAAAATCTTCCTAACAACATGTAACATAACATGATTGGAACTACTAAGTAGTATATGTACATGCATCGCACAGTAAGTCAACCTCTAGAAATTAAGAACATAATAAAATGAATAAGCAACCACTTTATTAAGTACCATTATACATTGAATTTAAATATTATGTTATCGAATAAATACAAAATAATTTTTGGCTCATATTTTAAGTTTTGGAGCTAAACAAGATGCAAAATAATTATAGAACTAAAGAAATGCTAGAGCATGTCAAGAGGATTCCAAAAATATAATCATTTCAAACAAAGTTCTAGACATGCCTTTGCCCCTCCAAATGTACCTCTTACAATTGCATGTTTACAAATATGTCTTTAATTTTTTTTATTATATATAAATTAAATTTCTTGACATGAATCCTTTAAGAAATTGTGTTAATGCTAGGGCGTCTCCTGGAAGCGACGATGTTGTTGTTGTTGTATATATAAATTAAATTTCTATTTTAAACCAATCTTCCTCTACAACTCTCGATTCTTCCTTATCTGTCACAAGCGGCCCCACATTTTTGAAAACTAGTTTAATGCTTTTATTGTTGGTGCTTCTTGTCAATGTTGTCAATGAGTCATTATTATCCGATGACCATCTGGATGGCCTCTAATGAACATCATTGTCATAACGATTCATATTACCTCTCTTTCTTTCACATTGCCACCACCCTACTATCGACTATGACTGGTTGCGGAGACATGGTCAACAACGACTTTATTAAGTCTAACAACTCCTTTATTAGCTCCAATAAAGTTTCTTGCAATTTGTTAAAATACCAGGTTTTGTGTGTGTATATATATTACCATTTAATTCAGTGGAGAAATTCATTCTCTCACAATATTGATGCCATCTAATTAGGAATTTGAACTACTAACCATAGAATAAGCTTTAATTATTGGGGAATCTAATGATACATTGAAGGCATAAGATAATGAAGATATGAAACTGCTATAGGGTGACAATAAGGAAACCCTCCACTGGGCGCGATTGAGGCATATGATTGGGGGGCACGTGTAGATGGTGCTTACATGGAGGAGAGTGGCCTGGTATTGGGTGATGGCCAAGGCCCATGGGGGAGCGGTTACTTTGGTGGAGGCCTCGTGGGAGCTGGGTATTTTACAGGTAGACAAGGGATGACAAATAGACCTTCTACTTGGTGATTGATGATGAAGCTCTACTTTATGATGTGCAACCCTACTACATGTGAGGCATATTATTACTACTTTTTAATAGTTTTTATTTTACTCGCCACTTTATCACACTATGGGTGGACCATTTTATCTTACTATGACGGGTCCTGTTCTTCTCTTCATTGCCTCGTTATGTTCACAATATGAAATAAAATATTGACAAAGCTTTGTTATATTGTGTTTCACGTTGTTCTCTCCTCAGCTAGATTTCATGGTTCCATTCTCTTTATGCTATAATAGATGCAGTCCAACATTAAAGAAATCCCTCCACTAGGCGCATGTAGATGGTGCTTACATGGAGGAGAGCGGCCTGGTATAGGGTGATTACCAGGGCACCATGGGAAAGGGGTTACTTTGGTGGAGGCTTATGGGAGCTTGGTGTTGTATAGGTAGACAAATGATGACAAATAGACCTTCTACGTAGTGATTAATGATGATGCTCCACTTTATGGCTTGCAGCTGTACTATATGGTGAGGCATTATTGGTACAACTTTTTTTTACTCACCACTTTATCACAGTATGGGAGGTTCACTTTATCATACTATGGTGGGTCTTGTCCTTCCACTCAGCTAGATTTCATGGATCCTTTCTCTTTATGCTAGAATAGATGCAATCCAGTATTAAATTTTATGAATATGGATGAATGCATAACCTTTGAAGCCAATTTGAAATGGCTATAAAAAAGTACATTTTTTAATATTCAAATTATAAGTTATACCTTAATGTAATTGCTAGTTATAGATTTCGTTAGAGTTGATCAAGCAAATTACCTCAATGTATTTGTTGAATACTTACAAGCTAATTATAAGTTATAGAGCTCGTCAGAGTACAATATAGTAGCAAAAAACCTTAAAACCAACCTCAAACAGTATCATTGGAGCTCCTTAATTGAAATTCCTCATTGAGAACTACCTCAATAGAGTTGTCGAATACATGTAGTAGTATTGCTTCACCATGGATAACTTTGTAGTCACCATGTAGTTGGGTTACGTTGCCATCATTCTGGCTATTTGCTTGTCATGAAGATTTTAGCAAGAAAAGGCATGATATTGTAGTCCTAATATGGGTTCTAATGTCACGTTGTTGGACATCAAGAATGCTTTTAAGCGATGGTTATTTTTCATAACCCTCAAGGAGTGTGCTGTAATGGTTCACTAGGCTACCAGTAGGAGTCATCACATTCTTCTCAGAATTTAAGAGGTTATTTGCAACTCAGTTTTCCATCACCCATAAGCCTCAAAAGAGCTTGCAATCTCTCACTAAAATGAGGCAGGAACTAGGAGAGTCATTGAAGAGCTTTATTGTGAGGATCTAGAGGGAATCGCGGGACGTAAATGATTTGGAACCTGCAGTCGCCTAGATTTCTTTAACTCAAGGATTGAGGGAAGGTTCTTTTTTTACACACTCAGCTTGGTGTGTCACAACCCAACCCAATAGGATTCCTATCATGTTGAGCTGTGATAGACAAATCTTATGATCTAGTTTTGAAAATATTTCAGATTTTCTTCCAATATACTTTTTAAACAAACAACAAATTACAAAGCTATTAAAATATTCAGAATACTTAAAATAAACTCATCCAGAAAAATCTGTTTCATTTCATTAAAATGTATATACAAGATAACTAAAAGAAAATCAGAGTATATAAAATAAATTGCAAGAAAATAAGTGAAAAAAATATAAGAATACACAAATCATATTTATAGTAGTTCGGTTAGATCGACTTACGTCCATTCTCCAACCTCTTCTTTAGGTATTGTACTAACTCAGTCTTTTGGCACTCATCCAAAAGGAGAAACCCTTCTCTCTTAGCAGGTGGAGAATGACCTTTATAGACTCTGAAAAATCTCCCTCCTTCCACTTCCCAGCCTGATGGAGATGTCGTCCCTCTTTTAGCTCATCGCAGAGATGTCGTTCCCTCCTTTCGCCTCCAAGCCCGGTGGAAATGTCATCCCTCTTTTAACTCGCTCGGGTAGAGATCATGCTCCCTTCTTTCGCCTCTCAGCCTGACGAAGATGCCAATCACTAGCCTCCTCGGCTAGCAAGCCTTTTGTCCTAAATATTTTTCTTCTTAGACCTCTACCAAACACAACAGGAGGACCCATGATGAAGGTTAGCGGAAGAAACTATGTGAATCTCCTTACACCTGTTAACTTCCTCATGGCAAACTTTTTCTAGCAACCTCACCTCCTTTCTCTCCCTTATGTAGTGGAAATTCTCCCAAGCTCTCTCCTTAAAATAAAATGTTTGTGACTGCTCAAGAACCTCTTCCCTCTAGTAATATGATGAGTTTATTAAGTAAACTATTAAGAAAAGCATAATTTTCAAATTTTAGCCTCTGATGTACAGATTGTACGGTACAATTACAAAATCAATATCAAGCCTTTATCCCACTACGTGGGGTTGGCTTCATGACTCCTTTTTCTCCATTGTGTCTTGTTAAGAGTCAAATTTTTATGTAAATCTAATAAAGAAAGGCCATTTCTAATATTTTCTAAGTAAGTCTTTTTAGATCAACCTCTATGTTTTTCAACATAAGAATATCTAATAAAATAATTTTAGTTGTTGAGGAGTCCACCCACGTTACTTTTGATAAATCAGTTATAGTTTTTGAAACTAGAATGATTAATGATGAATAAGAAGAGATAATCCATAGAATTGAAAATGTTGAATTAGATGATAGAGAAGAAGCTCAGGATTCATTGCTTAGGAAATGAAGATATTCATCGAGTCATCTTAGAGAACTTATCTTAGGAGACTTATCCATAGGGTTTAGGACTAGGCATGACCTTAGAATGAAAGTTAACCACACAACTTTCATCTCTATGATAGAACTCACTAGCATAGATCAGACATTAGTTGATGAAATTGGGACACCAACAATGCACAAAGAACTGAATCAATTTGTTTGGAATTATATGTGAGAGTTAGTATGTAGACCTTTTGATCAGAGTATTGTTGGAACTAATTGGATTCTCAAAAATAATTTAATGAGATTGAATCAATAGTTAGAAATAAGATTAGGTTGGTAACAAAGAGGTACAACCAAATCAAAGGGATAGATTTTGAGGAGACTTTTCACCCATAGATAGACTAGAAGCCATAAGTGTACTATTAGCATTTGCATGCTTTAAAGGCTTTGATTATATCAAAAGAATGTAAAAAGTATTTTTTAAATGAGGTGATCAAGGAAGATGTGTATGTTGACCAACACTCTAGTTTTGACAACTTAGTCTTTCTAATTCACTTTTATAAACTTAGGAAAGCACTATATAGGCTTAAGCAAGCACCTCAGATGTGTGATGATAGAACTAACAATTTCCTATTAGAAAAATTTTTTGTCGGGAGCAACAACCTATTCATTGGTAGTGATAGGCTCCTCCCAATGTTTGAACTCTCGCTCTCTTTAGAGGAGAAACGAAGAACTTCATGAATCTAATCCATTACTAGGCTCCTTCCATATTTACTTCATTTCCAGATGAGGCTGGACCACCTTAGACACCTTCTTGGATGCCATCTTGCATCCATGAATGCTTCAGAGAAGATCCATTCCATGAAGCACTCGCCGATACTCTTGCAGCACCTAACAAATGAACTAGCCTCTTGAAATGCTAAAGCTGCAATTTGTTGAAGAGAGCCATACAGAAATGATGTAGGGTGCAACAACCTATTCATTGGTAGTGATGTCTCCTCCCAATGTTTGAACTCTCTCGCTCTCTTTGGAGGTGAAACGAAGAACTTCATGAATCTAATCCATTGCTAGGCTCCTTCCATATTTGCTTCCTTTCAAGATGAGGCTGGAGCACCTTAGACACCTTCTTGGATGCCATCTCGCATGCATGAATCTTTAAGAGGAGATCCATTTCACGAAGCACTCGTCGATACTCTTGCAGCAACTAACAAATGAACTAGCCTCTCGAAATGCTAAAGCTGCAATTTGCTGAAGAGCGCCGTACAATAATGATGTAGGGTGCGTCAACATCATAAAGTCCACATTGTTTTTTAGAATACTATAAAAAAGGGCAATAAATGTGCATTATTCTCTGTTTTTATTAGATAGTCACTATTATTATCATTCACTCACCCTTCTCAAAGCTCGCCTGTTAATGGGTCGAGTGAATTGGGGGAATTAAATATACATCAGCAATCGAATCGTGATAAGGATGTTCCATATTAGGAGCAAATGCCTTAAAGGACTTTCACACAGCTACTAGAGAAACTCGCCTAAGGAAAGGGCATCACGCACCTACACCTGCTCAGGAACTTGTCCTACACTAGGATACTAGAAGGCTCCTCACCAAATAACCAGATCATCACTCATCTCAGTCTAGTTCTCATCGATTGAACTCACTGAGCCTTATTTACAAGAAAGTTCCAACCTTAAACCTCAGTGACCCCTTATTTATTCGACAACAATTCCTACCAAATTCAGGAACCCCTCATCCTTGCCAACACCTCGGCTCACCTTCCTCAACAGAGCGACACTGAACACCCAATGTCACTCGTCGACCTCACAAGATGACCTACTAACTATGGGTCCATCTTTAAGATTCGCTCAACAGCTACTCACCTCCTTGTTGAGCTCGCATGATGATCAACAGCTCGCTAGTTCATTGACTTCATACTCCTATAGCCAATCATGAGGTTCCACGTGTCTTAGACTTGTGTGTAGCATTGTACTAGTATTTTTTTATGGCCCATATTCCTATTTTCTCAGTGTAGCCTTTACTAGAAATCTCAAAACCTTATAAATAAGGGGTGATGAGAAACGTTTGGGGGATCTTTTTTTTTGGATCTTTTGACCTTTTAGAAGTTTTGAGCTGTGGGCTCCGAAAATTCGGCCTCGGCCTCCACTCGCTTTTCTTATTCGGCGAGGGAGTTTTAACGAACTAAGTTCCGAGGTAAATTTTGGAAGGCAGATGGGTTTGTAGATAAGACACTACCCAGAGATTTCGCCCTCATTTTGCGAGGACTTTATGATCTGAGTTCTTGTTTCCTATAGGCGCAAGCCCTTATAGTTAATTACCCCTCCCGATCACGAGAGAGAACTTTTAGTTAAGGCTAGTCGTAAATCAGACGCATAACATACGTGTTATCTGGCATATAGTAGCAGCAATAGATTGGATACTGATAGAAATTGGATTTGGAAATTGGATATTTGGACATTTTGCTATTTAAAATAGAAATTGTACCATCTAGTACTTAAAGCGGATGGTGGGGGAATGGATGATAGACCCGATCAAGATCCCATGGTTCCATCATCCCGGGCCATCGTGGTCCCTGGTCTACTTAGTCAGAGGAGGTAGTCGACCCAACCTGACAGAAGGATCCTTGTCAGCAGCCATGGGTTGCTTCGTCCAAGGAGACCTTGTAGACCGAGGTTGAATGTTTGTCTAAGGGGACAAATTTAAATCCACCTTAGCTAACAGAGGGCTTTATGCCCTATCGATCATATCCTATTGATTCATAT